TTTGTCATCTTCTAGTTTTTGAATTGCTTCTTTCTGGTTCCTTGTTATTTTTAAGAGGCTTTTTCTTTCACAATCATATGCCATAAATCTCTCTTCAAGTTTCAGAAGGCTGTCTTTAGTTTCTGTCAAGGTATTTTGCCAGTGTTCAATGGAGTTTTTAGTTTCCTGGTATTATTCTCTTTGAATCTGTTTCATGCATTCTAAGTTATGTTTAAATTCTTCTTCAGAAGTTTCTCTTTCTTTTCTGATTTCCTCAGTTCTTCCATCTGTGTTCTCTTGGGCGGGGCTTGTCATTTCTTTAATTAATCTCTTTATATCTTGTCTCACTTGAATCAGGAGTACACTTTAAATTCTTCTATGAGATCATGAAGGTACTTTTTAATTTCGGCTGATGCTGTGTCGAGCAATGGATGGTTACTGTGCTTGTTCTCTTCGGTGTTTACTTCTCCTGGGCTTATTTTCTCATGTTGGGCAGCTGGAGATTTTTTTAAATTTTTATCTCTTGTCATGTTTCTGGTTTCTTTCAGAATGTCCTGGGGTTCTATGGCCCTCTCCGAATTGCTTAGGGCCTTTCAGAAGCGTGCTGACTTGAGTTTTTGCTGTCCTCCCCAATTTGCTGTTATCTGGGGTAGGCTGGGGTGCAGGGGTGGTACAGGCTAGTCTCCAGCCTCTGCACCATAAATTAGGCTGTACTTTCTGGATGTCACTGAGTTGTGACTATTTTGTATCTGCTTGTTGAGCCCCAAGCAGAGGCTTGGTTTAGCCCCAGTAGCTCCTGCTGGTTCTCTTTGTACCAGAAGCAGCTGACTAATGTCACTATGGCACAGGGTCCTGCCCAAATCCCAGCTGTTCTCTTCCAGACCTCTCTGTGACAGGAGCACCAGAACAGCAGAACTGCCCAAATTCAAGATGTCTCCCACTAGTTCTCTGTATGACACTGAAGCCAACACGTACTCAGGCTCTGCCCAATTTCAAGATGCCTTCCACCAGCCCTCCCTACAGGGGGACTCAGTGATGCCACCGAGCTGTAGGTTCTGCCCAACTGTAAGATGGCTGCCACCAGACTCTGTGATATTGATGTCCTTGTGGTGGCGGGCACTGCCCAGTTCCAAGACATTCTCTGGTCAACCCCAGCAGCCGCGGGGCCCCCAGTACTCACCAGGGTCCATGCCGCCCACCTTTCCCACACTCCCAGCATAGTGCGGAGTGGTCAGGAATCCACGCTGCGTGCACTCCCGGCATGGCGCGGAACGGTCAGGAATTTCTTTATTATGGAAGTATCTTATTCATCAATTTTGAGAGATAATTTTAGTCAAGGTTAGAAGTTGTTTCCCTTTAGAGCTTGAAACACTGACTTCCATGCTGTCCTTGCCTTTAAGTTTTGTGCTGAGAAATCTATTATAATTCCCGGCCACTGATGTGTTACATTGGCTGTTGTAATAAATTCAACAACAACAACGGAATCAAATTTCAAGTGGATACTCACAAATCCTAGAAACCACTCATGATCAGCCCTTCACCAAAACAAGGAAGACTATCTTTTAAGTGAGTTATACTTACTGTAGTAGTTCATGCCACTAAGTTTTGATGGATATAAGTGGCATAGTGCATACATGCACTATGTATGCCCTCTTTAGAAGTGGCCCTCTAACTGTTACTTCCACCAAACCTGGTCTCCCACAAGAGAATGCTGCCTCCATGATCTTCCTGTTTAAAACCCATACCTCCCAGTTGACCCCAGGAGATCTGTATTTAGCTCTCACCCTATCTATCCTGTCTCCAAAGGATCTTGCCTGTTCTCTGAGGTAGACTGTCAGTTCAGTGTTGGACTGAAACTTTCTGGGCATTACTCTCTTCCTAGTGCAGGTGGATCTGTTGGTTTTCACCTTTGTGGCCCTGTGCTGTGGGGAACCCAGGACTGGGGGATGGTGTGCTCAGGTCTGGGATCTCCTTACCCAGTGTGGGTCCCAGGCAGGCATCTATGTCAGCTGGGGATACAATGCTGAATTCCTGGGTTATCATCAAACTCTGCTTTGGGACAGGGGCATTGGCTTTGTCTGGGAGTGGGGCTCTCAGACTGAGGTTTGCTATTTGTGCTCTGGTTTTGCTGGTCGTTTGATCTTCCACTAGCTAAAGAAGTTTAACATAGGTTCATAAAGCACAAAAGCAGGGATTTAACTGAGAGCTTCACACATGTGAGGCATGTGTCATAGCACTGAGATACACCCCAGACTCTTGGGAATTGAGGATCATTATCCTTAGCGATCCCATGTAATTGCTAATACAATTCTCCATGGTGTACAAGTAGTGTCACATTTTTGATTTTTCTAATTAACCACTTGGGTCCTGACATGTCTAAGTTAGCAGAAAATCTTGTTACTTTCCTGTGGGAGCTCCTAAACCCTCCTCCATGAATTTTCCAAAAATCCAAGAGATTGCTTAAAACTGAGGAATTCAGTTCTCTTTCACAAGTCAAATGTGCTTTCGTGATTTGTGTTGCTATTAAATATCTCTCAGTGTAGTGGTGATTAAGCTTTGGTCCTAGGTTGTCATTACTGATTCAGATCTCTGAGCCTTCATGGAAATACACACTTAATTGCAGCCTATTTTACTTACTGATTTAGTATTTGTGCTTTTATATTCAGTTTCTATCCCTGAACTAGCAGCACTTTACTTTGGTGGCTGAACCTCATAGATTTGCCCCAAGCATAGGAAGCAAAATGACTATACCTACTCCTTCAGAATCCTACATGGATCCTGCATGTTGGTGGAGACCTTCACCGTGGCTCATGCTTTGAGACCTTCATTAGTCTTCTGCCAGAAAATAAGAGTTGGGATCATTGTAAAGTCTTGGAGGGCTCAAGTAATGTTTAAGAAAGAGATCAAAGTTCCTTTTTTCTTTGTTACCAGATCTTTACCCAGAAGTCTCTTTATACAGAGTAGCACCTTTAAATAAGTTCTGAAAGGTCCTGAAATAAGCCTTGAATTGGCAACAACTTCTGATTGGCTTCTGAAACTGTTTAGTACTGAAAATTTACTTTTGTTTTGGAACCAAGACTCTAGAATATTTACAGATTTTGTCTCATACAGAAGCCATTAAATGACACTCTCTGAATTCATAGTAGATTAGTTGCATTTAAAGAGAACTAAGCCCCAGCATGACACAATATGTCCCACATATAAGAGTGTTTTGCCTTTCATTTCAGTTGGAGACAGACAGAAATTGAACCAGAAGATCTTTATTAGAATCACACTCAGAGTTTTGTTGTGTAGAGGAAGAATATTAGTCCATTCCAGGTCATTAAAAGAACTAACTTTTAACTTCATTAGTTCTCTGTATTATCTTCTTAGTGTCAGTTGCATTAATTTCTGCACTGATCTTTTTTTTTTTCAATTTTATTTAAGGGGAAAAAGAAAAAAAGCAGAAAAAGGGTACACGTTTTTCAGAAAAAAAATAAACAGTAGGAAATCACTAGTTAGTGGATTACATATTGTCATCTTAGAAATATTTGTTCAAATTACAAAATTAAAGCTTATGTATTGGACATTCAAACAGTGAGACCAAACAGTTCTGTTCAATGATCCAACAAAACTCAGTAATATCACTGTCTATCTTATACACTGATCTTTATAACTTCCTCCTTTATATGGGTTTTAGTCTTCCCTTTCTCCTCTTTACCTAGAAACTTGAGATGCAACATTAAGTTGTTGCTCCTTCTGTTTTTCTGATGTGAGACTTCACTATTACAAATTTCCCATAGGACTACTTTCATTGCATTCCAAAGGTTTCAGGAAGTTGTATCTGCATTTTCATTTAATTGTAGACATTGTTTAATTTCTTTTTAAATTTCATCTGTGACCCATTGGTTGTTCAGGAGTATGTTATTTATTTCCATGTGTTTATGGAATTTTTGCGGTTTCTTTTGGTGTTAATTTCCAGTTTCACTGGGATGTCATCAGGAAATATGCCTGGGATAAGTTCAGTTCCTTAGTACTTACTTAAGCATATTCTGTGGGCCAGTATATGGTCTAGAGAATGTCCCATTTGCAGCTGAGAAGAACATGTATCCTAATGTTGTTCGGTGGAATGTTGTAAACACTTACCAAGTCCACTTGTTCACAGGTTTTATTCAGTTCTGATATTTGTTTGCTGATTTTTGTCTACTTGGTTTATGTCTTTGTGACAATGGGGAATTAAACAGCTCCATCACAATTGTATTAATTCTTATTTGATTTTCCCTGTCTGGTCGTGTTTGTCTGATACAGTTATGTGTTCTGCTTGAAGTTTTATTCCAGGTCCTGATATCTGTTACTTTTCTGCCATTGGCATAACTAGTTCAGTAGTAGAGGACAAATATGTTGTCCAATTTAATGAGATATTTATAAATAGACTTAGTTATAAATTATTTAAAAGTTGATATACCATGAATTATAAGCCACAGAGAAGAGAAGAGCTCATAGTCCAAATTAAGACCCATTATTTTCTGGTAACTACAGCACTTGAATACTACAATCTGAAAATACACACGTTGGGTTGTAGTTGGAATTCCAAATTAGGTGAGCATTTAGGAACTACTCACCCCTTACTTTATTATTTCTGAGAGCAGGTTTCTATGTTACCTCATCAAACCTTCATGGGATTCTGGTAAACTAAATTAGCCAAGTCCTTACAGTTTATAAGACTTTGAGTCTAAGGGAAATGACTTATGCAAAAAGAAACAGCTGTTGGTTTTCAAGCCGGAGCTTGTGATTTCAAGACAGTTTCTCTTAAATTGTGCTAATCCAGCTAATGCTTGGAGCTGTCTTGCCTTTCTTGATTGATGCCTGCCTCACTTTACTTACTGTTTTTTCTTCCTTAATTACAGGTGTAATAAAGTTTTGTAGACACGACAGATTTGAAGTATTGGAGTAAAGTTTTCATATTAGATCTAACATTGTCTGAAATATGCTTAGTAATTTAATATGTTTTATATCAATTTTAAATCACTTTTTTTGCATAGAAAAAATTCTCAATGTGAAAAAAAGGAATCTTCAAATTCTGACAATAGCCCTGCAGGTAAGACTTCTCATAGTGAATTACACTTGGTGGCCCTGTCTTGATTTTCAAAGACAAAAGGATGAGTGTGAAGGCACAAACCTGTAACCCCAGCACTGGCGAGGCTGAGGCAGGAGTACCTTCTTGTGTTGAAGGCAATCCTGCACTACATAGTGAGACCCTGTCTCAAAGAACAAAAAACAAAAGACAAAAACAACAAAAAAGGAAAAGAGTAAGAAAAAATTTTGAACACAGAGGAGTTAAAACATTCACTGTGTCAATTAAATTTATATTTCCTTAATTTTTTTAATAATTCAGAACTCAGAATTATTTAAGAAATGAATTACAAGAAAGACCTAATCTAAAACATTCCATTTATTTAATTTTTACTTCTAAAATTCTAAACACAAAAAAGAATTTTAAACCAGTGTGGCTACTTTCTGTGCACTAACATTAGAGTAAACTTTTAATTTTTAAGTAATGGATTAGACTTAGTAAAGGAATATTACTCCATGATTTTATTACTGAAAAGTGATTTTTGTGACTAAAAATAGCATGCTAAGTCACTTTTATCCGTTATTTTCCATCCTAAGTATGTCATTTATATGGATCTGTATAATTTGTTACTCCTCAGTTCAGGAGATAATATCTATCACTGCTACTTTGATCTTGGAATTATTTCCAATTGTATACCGAGTTTCTGTAACATGGTAATGGTAGATTCAGTAACTATGTTCAATTAATAGTGTTTTCTCTTTGTTTCTTTTCTTTATCTCTTCTGTTCTCTTATTTGTAGTGGTTGCAAGTGAATCTGAGACTTCTTTAACACCAGGCAAGTACCCCTCCACTCAGGTGTATCTTTTGCTCCAAGAAGTTTGTTTTTTATATCAGGTTTTAGTTCACAGCAAAATTAAGAGGATATCCAAAAATTTCTGGTTTATTATGTGCCTCTCACACATGGGTTGCTTTCCTCAGGGGCCAGAGGCCTCCACTACATTAGAATGCTTGTTATAGACTATGATTTACAGGGGTCCATCATTACCATCCGAAGTGTCACTTTTAGTGTTCTGTATCAGATGGCTGTTTTAAAATGTGTAGCATATTTACTGTTGCATCTATGTTTATTCTTTATTTTTTCTTAACACTGCAGAATTCAGAAGTATTTAAGAAATTAAGTATAGGAAATTTAGAATCTAAAATACTCCATTTATTTAATTTTTACTTCAGAAATCCCATACACGAAAAAGAGTTCTAAATCAGTATGGCTAATTTATACACACTAACACTAAAGTTTTAATTTAAGTAAATTTGTTAGACTTAGTGAAAGAATATTATAATATGGTTATATCACTAAAAAGTGAGTTTTTGACTAGAACTATTACATTAAGTCACTTTTCTCAATTATTTTCACTTAGATGTGCAGTTTATATTTTTCTGGATATTTTCCTGTTCTTCACTTAAGAGATTATACCTATACTGTGGTGCTTTGATCTTGAAATTATGTGAATTTGTATACTGAGTTTCTGTAACATGATACTAGTAGATTTAGTAACTATTTTCATTTAATAGCTTTTACCCTATGTTTCTTTCTTTTCTCCTGTATGCTTTTCTTTCCTTTTGTCTTCTTTTTTTGCAGAGGTTGCAATTAAAATGGAGGCTCCATCCATGCCAGGTAAGTGCTCTATCAGTGAGCTGTACCCTTTGCACTAAGACTTTTTTAAAATCAGGATTAATTTTGCAGCAAAGTTGAGAGCAAGATCCAGAGATTTTTGGTTGATCACATGCCTCTTGCACATGAGTTGCCTCCATCCACAGCCAGTGGCCTCCTCTAAAGTAGTACAGTTGGTGTAGACAATGACTTTACACTGGCCCATTATTACCAAGCAAAGTCGGCAGTCAGTGTTAGGATTCACTGTTAGAGTTCCCCATCTCATGGGTCTATTGTAATGTGAAGTGTATTTACAGTTCAATTTATATTTGTGTTTAATTTTTGTTAATACTCCATATTTAGAAGAATTTAGAAAGTGAATTACAAGAAATTTATAACCTAAAATACTTCATTCATTTAATTTTCCTTGAATTTGTATACATGAAAAAGTTTTAAATCACTATGGCTACCTTGTATGAATTAAGATTAAACATTTAATGTTTTAAATAAACATGTTGGACTTAGTAAAAGAATATTACTACAAGAGTGTATTACTGAAAAGTGATTTTTGTGACTAAAATTAAAATGTTGTCACTCTTATGAATTATTTTCCCACTTAAGTATTTAATTTATATGGCTTTGTATAATATTCCTGGATATTTTCTGGATACTGGATATTTTCTGATACTAATAGTGTGCTACTTTGATCTTGGAATTATCTCCTATTGTACATTGAGTTTCTATAACATGGTAATAGTTTCAGTACCTGTCTTTAATTAATAGCTTTTCTTCTTTGTTTCTTCTCTTCTGTTTTCTTTTCGGTTCCATTCTTTTCTTTTTTGCAGTGGTTGCCAAAAAACCTGAGATTCCATTCGTATCCGGCAAGTGCTGTACCATGGAGTTGTACCCTTTGCACTATAAACTGTTTTTTTAAATTTCAGGCTTAAGTTCACAGCAAAATTGAAAGGAAGATCCAGAGATTTGCAGTTGATCATGTACCTCTCACACATAAGTTGCCTCCCTCTATGGCCAGTGCCCTCCCTTAGACTAGAACACTTGTTATGGAGAGTGACTTAAACCGGTCCATTATTATAATCCAAATCTGCAGTTAATATTAGTTTCACTGTTAGTGTTCTCCATCTGATGGGTCTATTCAAATGTGTAGTGTATTTGCTGTTGCATTTATATTTGTTCTTAATTTTGTGTTAAATTCCAGAATTCATAAGTATTTAAGACATGAAGTATAGGAAATTATGATTTAAAATATTCCTTTTATTTAATTTTCAATTTTGTAATCTTGTACATGATAAAGTATTTTAAATCAGTAGGTCTAGTATCTGTGCACTAACATTATAGTGAAGTTTTAATATTTTAATAAATGCATTAGACCTAGTAAAACCATTTTACTACATGATTGTATCACTAAGAAGTGATTGTTGTGAATAAAAATAAAATGTTAAGTCACCTATCAATTATTTTCTTGCCTAGGTATGTGACTTATATTGTTCTATATATTTTCCTATTGTTTGGTTTAGGAGATGATACCTATTCTGTGCTACTTTGATCTTGTAATTATCTCCAGGTATATACTGAGTTTCTGTAACATGGTAGTAGTAGTTTCGGTAACTACATTTAATTAACAGCTTTTTCCTGTGTTGTTTTCTTTTGTCTTCCCTTTTGCAGAGCCTCAACCTATTCTTGTGGCTCCATTCAGGCCAGGCAAGTGCGCTATCACTGAGGTGTATCCTTTACACTACGAAGTTTGCTTTTTTATATCAGGTTTAAGTTCACTGCAAAATTGAAAGGAAGCTCCAGAGATTTGCAGTTGATCATGTGCCTCTCACACATAAGTTGCCTCCTTCCATGGCCAGTGCTCTCCCCTAGAGTAGTACACTTGTGATAGATGATGACTTACCATGAGTCTACCCTTATCCTTAAAATCTGAATCTGCGGTTAATGTTAGGGTTCACTGTTAGTGTTCTCCATCTGATGGGTCTAACAAATGTGTAGGGTATTTACTGTTGCATTTATGTTTGTTCTTAATTGTTTGTTAATACTCCATATTCAGAAGAATTTAGGAGATGATTATAGGAAATTTTTAATCCAAATGTTACACTTCTTTAATTTCTACTTCTGAAATCCTATACATGAAAAATAGTTTTAAATTAGTATGGTTACTTTGTGTGTACTAACATTAGAGTAAACTTTTAATTTTTTAAGTAAATGTGTTAGACTTAGTAAAAGAATATTACTACATGGTTGTATTACTGAAAAGTGATTTTTGTGACTAAAAATAAAATTTTAAGTCACTTAACAATTATTATCTTCCCACTAAAGTATGTAATTTGTATTGTTCTGTATAATGTCCTACTCTGGTTTAGGAGGTGATATCTACACACTGTTACTGTGTTTTTGAATTATCTCCAATTGTATACTAAATTTCTGTATCATGGTATTAGTAGATTCATTAACTTTCTTTAAATAATACCTTTTTCTTTGTTTCTTTGTTTATTCTCTTTTTTTTTCTGTTTCATTGTCTTCCTTTTTGCAGTGGTTGCCACTCAACCCGAGACTCCACTCAAGTCAGGCAAGTGCTCTACCACAGAGGTGCACCCTTTTCACTAAGAACTTTGTTTTTTATGTCTGGCTTAGGTTCACAGCAAAGTTGAAAGGAGGATCCAGAGGGCTTTGATTGATCATGTCCCTCTCACACAAAGTGTTTTGCTTCCCTCCATGGCCAGTGCCCGCCCCTAGAGGAGTACCCTTGTTACAGATGATGACTTACAGTGGTCCATCGTTATCATCTAATGTTGGCAGTTAACATTAGGGCAAACTGTTGGCGTTCTCCATCTGATGGGTCTACTCAAATGTGTAGTATATTTACTGCTGCATTTATATTTGTTCTTGTTTTTTTCTTAATACCGCAGAATTCAGAAGTATTTAAGAAATTAACTGTAGGAAAATTTTATTCCAAAACACTCCATTTATTAATTTTTACTTCTGAAATCCTATACATGAAAAGAGTTTTAAATCACTATGTTTAGTGTCTGTGTAATAACATATAGTGAAGGTTTAATATGTTAATAAATGCATTAGACTTAGTAAAAACCATATTACTGTATGATTGTATCACTGAGAAGAGTTTTTTGTGACTAAAAATAAAATGTTAAGTCACTTATACATTATTTTCCCCCCCAAGATTTTAACTTACGTTGTTCTCCATATTTTCCTATTCTTCAGTTTAGGAGATGATATCTAGTCTGTGCTACTTTGATCTTGTAATTATCTCCAGGGGTATACTGAGTTTCTGTATCTTCTGCAGTAGTGGGTTCAGTAACTATCTTTAATTAACAGCTGTGTTTCTTCTCTTTTATTTTTTATGTGTTCTCTTTTCCAGGGATTGGTAGACCTGGCACTCCACTCATGCAAGGCAAGTGCCCCTCCACTGAACTGTACCCTTTGCACTATGAACATTTATAAACATCAGGATTAAGTTCACGGCAAAATTGAAAGGAAGATCCAGAGATTTCCAGTAGACTGTGTGCCTCTCACACATGAGTTGCCTCCCTCCACAGGCAGTGCCCTCCTCTAAAGTAGTACACTTAGTGTAGACAATGACTTACACTGGCCCATCATTACCAAGCGAAGTCTGCAGTCAGTGTTAGGATTCACTGTTTGTGTTCCCCTTCTCATGGTTCTATTGTAATGTGAAGTGTATTTACAGTTCAATTTATATTTGTGTTTAATTTTTTGTTAATACTCCATATTTAGAAGAATTTAGGAAATGAATTATAGGAAATTTATAACCTAAAATACTTCATTCATTTAATTTTCCTTGAATTCCTGTACATGAAAATGTTTTAAATCACTATGGCTACTTTGTGTGAATTAAGATTAAACTTTTAACATTTTAAACAAATGTGTTTGACTTAAAATGTTGCCCCTCTTATGAATTATTTTCCCACTTAAGTATTTAATTTATATGGCTTTGTATAATATTCCACTCTTTGGTTTAGGAGATGATAGTAATAGTGTGCTACTTTGATCTTGGAATTACCTCCTATTGTACATTGAGTTTCTATAACATGGTAATAGTTTCAGTACCTGTCTTTAATTAATAGCTTTTCTTCTTTGTTTCTTCTCTTCTGTTTTCTTTTCGGTTCCATTCTTTTCTTTTTTGCAGTGGTTGCCAAAAAACCTGAGATTCCATTCGTATCCGGCAAGTGCTGTACCATGGAGTTGTACCCTTTGCACTATAAACTGTTTTTTTAAATTTCAGGCTTAAGTTCACAGCAAAATTGAAAGGAAGATCCAGAGATTTGCAGTTGATCATGTACCTCTCACACATAAGTTGCCTCCCTCTATGGCCAGTGCCCTCCCTTAGACTAGAACACTTGTTATGGAGAGTGACTTAAACCGGTCCATTATTATAATCCAAATCTGCAGTTAATATTAGTTTCACTGTTAGTGTTCTCCATCTGATGGGTCTATTCAAATGTGTAGTGTATTTGCTGTTGCATTTATATTTGTTCTTAATTTTGTGTTAAATTCCAGAATTCATAAGTATTTAAGACATGAAGTATAGGAAATTATGATTTAAAATATTCCTTTTATTTAATTTTCAATTTTGTAATCTTGTACATGATAAAGTATTTTAAATCAGTAGGTCTAGTATCTGTGCACTAACATTATAGTGAAGTTTTAATATTTTAATAAATGCATTAGACCTAGTAAAACCATTTTACTACATGATTGTATCACTAAGAAGTGATTGTTGTGAATAAAAATAAAATGTTAAGTCACCTATCAATTATTTTCTTGCCTAAGTATGTGACTTATATTGTTCTATATATTTTCCTATTCTTTGGTTTAGGAGATGATACCTATTCTGTACTACTTTGATCTTGTAATTATCTCCAGGTATATACTGAGTTTCTGTAACATGGTAGTAGTAGTTTCGGTAACTACATTTAATTAACAGCTTTTTCCTGTGTTGTTTTCTTTTGTCTTCCCTTTTGCAGAGCCTCAACCTATTCTTGTGGCTCCATTCAGGCCAGGCAAGTGCGCTATCACTGAGGTGTATCCTTTACACTACGAAGTTTGCTTTTTTATATCAGGTTTAAGTTCACTGCAAAATTGAAAGGAAGCTCCAGAGATTTGCAGTTGATCATGTGCCTCTCACACATAAGTTGCCTCCTTCCATGGCCAGTGCTCTCCCCTAGAGTAGTACACTTGTGATAGATGATGACTTACCATGAGTCTACCCTTATCCTTAAAATCTGAATCTGCGGTTAATGTTAGGGTTCACTGTTAGTGTTCTCCATCTGATGGGTCTAACAAATGTGTAGGGTATTTACTGTTGCATTTATGTTTGTTCTTAATTGTTTGTTAATACTCCATATTCAGAAGAATTTAGGAGATGATTATAGGAAATTTTTAATCCAAATGTTACACTTCTTTAATTTCTACTTCTGAAATCCTATACATGAAAAATAGTTTTAAATTAGTATGGTTACTTTGTGTGTACTAACATTAGAGTAAACTTTTAATTTTTTAAGTAAATGTGTTAGACTTAGTAAAAGAATATTACTACATGGTTGTATTACTGAAAAGTGATTTTTGTGACTAAAAATAAAATTTTAAGTCACTTAACAATTATTATCTTCCCACTAAAGTATGTAATTTGTATTGTTCTGTATAATGTCCTACTCTGGTTTAGGAGGTGATATCTACACACTGTTACTGTGTTTTTGAATTATCTCCAATTGTATACTAAATTTCTGTATCATGGTATTAGTAGATTCATTAACTTTCTTTAAATAATACCTTTTTCTTTGTTTCTTTGTTTATTCTCTTTTTTTTTCTGTTTCATTGTCTTCCTTTTTGCAGTGGTTGCCACTCAACCCGAGACTCCACTCAAGTCAGGCAAGTGCTCTACCACAGAGGTGCACCCTTTTCACTAAGAACTTTGTTTTTTATGTCTGGCTTAGGTTCACAGCAAAGTTGAAAGGAGGATCCAGAGGGCTTTGATTGATCATGTCCCTCTCACACAAAGTGTTTTGCTTCCCTCCATGGCCAGTGCCCGCCCCTAGAGGAGTACCCTTGTTACAGATGATGACTTACAGTGGTCCTTTGTTACGTTATCATCTAACGTTGGCAGTTAACATTAGGGCAAACTGTTGGTGTTCTAGATCTGATGGGTCTACTCAAATGTGTAGTATATTTACTGCTGCATTTATATTTGTTCTTGTTTTTTTCTTAATACCTCAGGATTCAGAAGTATTTAAGAAATTAACTGTAGGAAAATTTTATTCCAAAACACTCCATTTATTAATTTTTACTTCTGAAATCCTATACATGAAAAGAGTTTTAAATCACTATGTTTAGTGTCTGTGTAATAACATATAGTGAAGGTTTAATATGTTAATAAATGCATTAGACTTAGTAAAAACCATATTACTGTATGATTGTATCACTGAGAAGAGTTTTTTGTGACTAAAAATAAAATGTTAAGTCACTTATACATTATTTTCCCCCCCAAGATTTTAACTTACGTTGTTCTCCATATTTTCCTATTCTTCAGTTTAGGAGATGATATCTAGTCTGTGCTACTTTGATCTTGTAATTATCTCCAGGGGTATACTGAGTTTCTGTATCTTCTGCAGTAGTGGGTTCAGTAACTATCTTTAATTAACAGCTGTGTTTCTTCTCTTTTATTTTTTATGTGTTCTCTTTTCCAGGGATTGGTAGACCTGGCACTCCACTCACGCAAGGCAAGTGCCCCTCCACTGAACTGTACCCTTTGCACTATGAACATTTATAAACATCAGGATTAAGTTCACGGCAAAATTGAAAGGAAGATCCAGAGATTTCCAGTAGACTGTGTGCCTCTCACACATGAGTTGCCTCCCTCCACAGGCAGTGCCCTCCTCTAAAGTAGTACACTTAGTGTAGACAATGACTTACACTGGCCCATCATTACCAAGCGAAGTCTGCAGTCAGTGTTAGGATTCACTGTTTGTGTTCCCCTTCTCATGGTTCTATTGTAATGTGAAGTGTATTTACAGTTCAATTTATATTTGTGTTTAATTTTTTGTTAATACTCCATATTTAGAAGAATTTAGGAAATGAATTATAGGAAATTTATAACCTAAAATACTTCATTCATTTAATTTTCCTTGAATTCCTGTACATGAAAATGTTTTAAATCACTATGGCTACTTTGTGTGAATTAAGATTAAACTTTTAACATTTTAAACAAATGTGTTTGACTTAAAATGTTGCCCCTCTTATGAATTATTTTCCCACTTAAGTATTTAATTTATATGGCTTTGTATAATATTCCACTCTTTGGTTTAGGAGATGATAGTAATAGTGTGCTACTTTGATCTTGGAATTACCTCCTATTGTACATTGAGTTTCTATAACATGGTAATAGTTTCAGTACCTGTCTTTAATTAATAGCTTTTCTTCTTTGTTTCTTCTCTTCTGTTTTCTTTTCGGTTCCATTCTTTTCTTTTTTGCAGTGGTTGCCAAAAAACCTGAGATTCCATTCGTATCCGGCAAGTGCTGTACCATGGAGTTGTACCCTTTGCACTATAAACTGTTTTTTTAAATTTCAGGCTTAAGTTCACAGCAAAATTGAAAGGAAGATCCAGAGATTTGCAGTTGATCATGTACCTCTCACACATAAGTTGCCTCCCTCTATGGCCAGTGCCCTCCCTTAGACTAGAACACTTGCTATGGAGAGTGACTTAAACCGGTCCATTATTATAATCCAAATCTGCAGTTAATATTAGTTTCACTGTTAGTGTTCTCCATCTGATGGGTCTATTCAAATGTGTAGTGTATTTGCTGTTGCATTTATATTTGTTCTTAATTTTGTGTTAAATTCCAGAATTCATAAGTATTTAAGACATGAAGTATAGGAAATTATGATTTAAAATATTCCTTTTATTTAATTTTCAATTTTGTAATTTTGTACATGATAAAGTATTTTAAATCAGTAGGTCTAGTATCTGTGCACTAACATTATAGTGAAGTTTTAATATTTTAATAAATGCATTAGACCTAGTAAAACCATTTTACTACATGATTGTATCACTAAGAAGTGATTGTTGTGAATAAAAATAAAATGTTAAGTCACCTATCAATTATTTTCTTGCCTAAGTATGTGACTTATATTGTTCTATATATTTTCCTATTCTTTGGTTTAGGAGATGATACCTATTCTGTACTACTTTGATCTTGTAATTATCTCCAGGTATATACTGAGTTTCTGTAACATGGTAGTAGTAGTTTCGGTAACTACATTTAATTAACAGCTTTTTCCTGTGTTGTTTTCTTTTGTCTTCCCTTTTGCAGAGCCTCAACCTATTCTTGTGGCTCCATTCAGGCCAGGCAAGTGCGCTATCACTGAGGTGTATCCTTTACACTACGAAGTTTGCTTTTTTATATCAGGTTTAAGTTCACTGCAAAATTGAAAGGAAGCTCCAGAGATTTGCAGTTGATCATGTGCCTCTCACACATAAGTTGCCTCCTTCCATGGCCAGTGCTCTCCCCTAGAGTAGTACACTTGTGATAGATGATGACTTACCATGAGTCTACCCTTATCCTTAAAATCTGAATCTGCGGTTAATGTTAGGGTTCACTGTTAGTGTTCTCCATCTGATGGGTCTAACAAATGTGTAGGGTATTTACTGTTGCATTTATGTTTGTTCTTAATTGTTTGTTAATACTCCATATTCAGAAGAATTTAGGAGATGATTATAGGAAATTTTTAATCCAAATGTTACACTTCTTTAATTTCTACTTCTGAAATCCTATACATGAAAAATAGTTTTAAATTAGTATGGTTACTTTGTGTGTACTAACATTAGAGTAAACTTTTAATTTTTTAAGTAAATGTGTTAGACTTAGTAAAAGAATATTACTACATGGTTGTATTACTGAAAAGTGATTTTTGTGACTAAAAATAAAATTTTAAGTCACTTAACAATTATTATCTTCCCACTAAAGTATGTAATTTGTATTGTTCTGTATAATGTCCTACTCTGGTTTAGGAGGTGATATCTATACACTGTTACTGAGTTTTTGAATTATCTCCAATTGTATACTAAATTTCTGTATCATGGTATTAGTAGATTCATTAACTTTCTTTAAATAATACCTTTTTCTTTGTTTCTTTGTTTATTCTCTTTTTTTTCTGTTTCATTGTCTTCCTTTTTGCAGTGGTTGCCACTCAACCCGAGACTCCACTCAAGTCAGGCAAGTGCTCTACCACAGAGCTGCACCCTTTTCACTAAGAACTTTGTTTTTTATGTCTGGCTTAGGTTCACAGCAAAGTTGAAAGGAGGATCCAGAGGGCTTTGATTGATCATGTCCCTCTCACACAAAGTGTTTTGCTTCCCTCCATGGCCAGTGCCCGCCCCTAGAGGAGTACCCTTGTTACAGATGATGACTTACAGTGGTCCATCGTTATCATCTAATGTTGGCAGTTAACATTAGGGCAAACTGTTGGCGTTCTCCATCTGATGGGTCTACTCAAATGTGTAGTATATTTACTGCTGCATTTATATTTGTTCTTGTTTTTTTCTTAATACCGCAGAATTCAGAAGTATTTAAGAAATTAACTGTAGGAAAATTTTATTCCAAAACACTCCATTTATTAATTTTTACTTCTGAAATCCTATACATGAAAAGAGTTTTAAATCACTATGTTTAGTGTCTGTGTAATAACATATAGTGAAGGTTTAATATGTTAATAAATGCATTAGACTTAGTAAAAACCATATTACTGTATGATTGTATCACTGAGAAGAGTTTTTTGTGACTAAAAATAAAATGTTAAGTCACTTATACATTATTTTCCCCCCCAAGATTTTAACTTACGTTGTTCTCCATATTTTCCTATTCTTCAGTTTAGGAGATGATATCTAGTCTGTGCTACTTTGATCTTGTAATTATCTCCAGGGGTATACTGAGTTTCTGTATCTTCTGCAGTAGTGGGTTCAGTAACTATCTTTAATTAACAGCTGTGTTTCTTCTCTTTTATTTTTTATGTGTTCTCTTTTCCAGGGATTGGTAGACCTGGCACTCCACTCACGCAAGGCAAGTGCCCCTCCACTGAACTGTACCCTTTGCACTATGAACATTTATAAACATCAGGATTAAGTTCACGGCAAAATTGAAAGGAAGATCCAGAGATTTCCAGTAGACTGTGTGCCTCTCACACATGAGTTGCCTCCCTCCACAGGCAGTGCCCTCCTCTAAAGTAGTACACTTAGTGTAGACAATGACTTACACTGGCCCATCATTACCAAGCGAAGTCTGCAGTCAGTGTTAGGATTCACTGTTTGTGTTCCCCTTCTCATGGTTCTATTGTAATGTGAAGTGTATTTACAGTTCAATTTATATTTGTGTTTAATTTTTTGTTAATACTCCATATTTAGAAGAATTTAGGAAATGAATTATAGGAAATTTATAACCTAAAATACTTCATTCATTTAATTTTCCTTGAATTCCTGTACATGAAAATGTTTTAAATCACTATGGCTACTTTGTGTGAATTAAGATTAAACTTTTAACATTTTAAACAAATGTGTTTGACTTAAAATGTTGCCCCTCTTATGAATTATTTTCCCACTTAAGTATTTAATTTATATGGCTTTGTATAATATTCCACTCTTTGGTTTAGGAGATGATAGTAATAGTGTGCTACTTTGATCTTGGAATTACCTCCTATTGTACATTGAGTTTCTATAACATGGTAATAGTTTCAGTACCTGTCTTTAATTAATAGCTTTTCTTCTTTGTTTCTTCTCTTCTGTTTTCTTTTCGGTTCCATTCTTTTCTTTTTTGCAGTGGTTGCCAAAAAACCTGAGATTCCATTCGTATCCGGCAAGTGCTGTACCATGGAGTTGTACCCTTTGCACTATAAACTGTTTTTTTAAATTTCAGGCTTAAGTTCACAGCAAAATTGAAAGGAAGATCCAGAGATTTGCAGTTGATCATGTACCTCTCACACATAAGTTGCCTCCCTCTATGGCCAGTGCCCTCCCTTAGACTAGAACACTTGCTATGGAGAGTGACTTAAACCGGTCCATTATTATAATCCAAATCTGCAGTTAATATTAGTTTCACTGTTAGTGTTCTCCATCTGATGGGTCTATTCAAATGTGTAGTGTATTTGCTGTTGCATTTATATTTGTTCTTAATTTTGTGTTAAATTCCAGAATTCATAAGTATTTAAGACATGAAGTATAGGAAATTATGATTTAAAATATTCCTTTTATTTAATTTTCAATTTTGTAATTTTGTACATGATAAAGTATTTTAAATCAGTAGGTCTAGTATCTGTGCACTAACATTATAGTGAAGTTTTAATATTTTAATAAATGCATTAGACCTAGTAAAACCATTTTACTACATGATTGTATCACTAAGAAGTGATTGTTGTGAATAAAAATAAAATGTTAAGTCACCTATCAATTATTTTCTTGCCTAAGTATGTGACTTATATTGTTCTATATATTTTCCTATTCTTTGGTTTAGGAGATGATACCTATTCTGTACTACTTTGATCTTGTAATTATCTCCAGGTATATACTGAGTTTCTGTAACATGGTAGTAGTAGTTTCGGTAACTACATTTAATTAACAGCTTTTTCCTGTGTTGTTTTCTTTTGTCTTCCCTTTTGCAGAGCCTCAACCTATTCTTGTGGCTCCATTCAGGCCAGGCAAGTGCGCTATCACTGAGGTGTATCCTTTACACTACGAAGTTTGCTTTTTTATATCAGGTTTAAGTTCACTGCAAAATTGAAAGGAAGCTCCAGAGATTTGCAGTTGATCATGTGCCTCTCACACATAAGTTGCCTCCTTCCATGGCCAGTGCTCTCCCCTAGAGTAGTACACTTGTGATAGATGATGACTTACCATGAGTCTACCCTTATCCTTAAAATCTGAATCTGCGGTTAATGTTAGGGTTCACTGTTAGTGTTCTCCATCTGATGGGTCTAACAAATGTGTAGGGTATTTACTGTTGCATTTATGTTTGTTCTTAATTGTTTGTTAATACTCCATATTCAGAAGAATTTAGGAGATGATTATAGGAAATTTTTAATCCAAATGTTACACTTCTTTAATTTCTACTTCTGAAATCCTATACATGAAAAATAGTTTTAAATTAGTATGGTTACTTTGTGTGTACTAACATTAGAGTAAACTTTTAATTTTTTAAGTAAATGTGTTAGACTTAGTAAAAGAATATTACTACATGGTTGTATTACTGAAAAGTGATTTTTGTGACTAAAAATAAAATTTTAAGTCACTTAACAATTATTATCTTCCCACTAAAGTATGTAATTTGTATTGTTCTGTATAATGTCCTACTCTGGTTTAGGAGGTGATATCTATACACTGTTACTGAGTTTTTGAATTATCTCCAATTGTATACTAAATTTCTGTATCATGGTATTAGTAGATTCATTAACTTTCTTTAAATAATACCTTTTTCTTTGTTTCTTTGTTTATTCTCTTTTTTTTCTGTTTCATTGTCTTCCTTTTTGCAGTGGTTGCCACTCAACCCGAGACTCCACTCAAGTCAGGCAAGTGCTCTACCACAGAGCTGCACCCTTTTCACTAAGAACTTTGTTTTTTATGTCTGGCTTAGGTTCACAGCAAAGTTGAAAGGAGGATCCAGAGGGCTTTGATTGATCATGTCCCTCTCACACAAAGTGTTTTGCTTCCCTCCATGGCCAGTGCCCGCCCCTAGAGGAGTACCCTTGTTACAGATGATGACTTACAGTGGTCCATCGTTATCATCTAATGTTGGCAGTTAACATTAGGGCAAACTGTTGGCGTTCTCCATCTGATGGGTCTACTCAAATGTGTAGTATATTTACTGCTGCATTTATATTTGTTCTTGTTTTTTTCTTAATACCGCAGAATTCAGAAGTATTTAAGAAATTAACTGTAGGAAAATTTTATTCCAAAACACTCCATTTATTAATTTTTACTTCTGAAATCCTATACATGAAAAGAGTTTTAAATCACTATGTTTAGTGTCTGTGTAATAACATATAGTGAAGGTTTAATATGTTAATAAATGCATTAGACTTAGTAAAAACCATATTACTGTATGATTGTATCACTGAGAAGAGTTTTTTGTGACTAAAAATAAAATGTTAAGTCACTTATACATTATTTTCCCCCCCAAGATTTTAACTTACGTTGTTCTCCATATTTTCCTATTCTTCAGTTTAGGAGATGATATCTAGTCTGTGCTACTTTGATCTTGTAATTATCTCCAGGGGTATACTGAGTTTCTGTATCTTCTGCAGTAGTGGGTTCAGTAACTATCTTTAATTAACAGCTGTGTTTCTTCTCTTTTATTTTTTATGTGTTCTCTTTTCCAGGGATTGGTAGACCTGGCACTCCACTCACGCAAGGCAAGTGCCCCTCCACTGAACTGTACCCTTTGCACTATGAACATTTATAAACATCAGGATTAAGTTCACGGCAAAATTGAAAGGAAGATCCAGAGATTTCCAGTAGACTGTGTGCCTCTCACACATGAGTTGCCTCCCTCCACAGGCAGTGCCCTCCTCTAAAGTAGTACACTTAGTGTAGACAATGACTTACACTGGCCCATCATTACCAAGCGAAGTCTGCAGTCAGTGTTAGGATTCACTGTTTGTGTTCCCCTTCTCATGGTTCTATTGTAATGTGAAGTGTATTTACAGTTCAATTTATATTTGTGTTTAATTTTTTGTTAATACTCCATATTTAGAAGAATTTAGGAAATGAATTATAGGAAATTTATAACCTAAAATACTTCATTCATTTAATTTTCCTTGAATTCCTGTACATGAAAATGTTTTAAATCACTATGGCTACTTTGTGTGAATTAAGATTAAACTTTTAACATTTTAAACAAATGTGTTTGACTTAAAATGTTGCCCCTCTTATGAATTATTTTCCCACTTAAGTATTTAATTTATATGGCTTTGTATAATATTCCACTCTTTGGTTTAGGAGATGATAGTAATAGTGTGCTACTTTGATCTTGGAATTACCTCCTATTGTACATTGAGTTTCTATAACATGGTAATAGTTTCAGTACCTGTCTTTAATTAATAGCTTTTCTTCTTTGTTTCTTCTCTTCTGTTTTCTTTTCGGTTCCATTCTTTTCTTTTTTGCAGTGGTTGCCAAAAAACCTGAGATTCCATTCGTATCCGGCAAGTGCTGTACCATGGAGTTGTACCCTTTGCACTATAAACTGTTTTTTTAAATTTCAGGCTTAAGTTCACAGCAAAATTGAAAGGAAGATCCAGAGATTTGCAGTTGATCATGTACCTCTCACACATAAGTTGCCTCCCTCTATGGCCAGTGCCCTCCCTTAGACTAGAACACTTGCTATGGAGAGTGACTTAAACCGGTCCATTATTATAATCCAAATCTGCAGTTAATATTAGTTTCACTGTTAGTGTTCTCCATCTGATGGGTCTATTCAAATGTGTAGTGTATTTGCTGTTGCATTTATATTTGTTCTTAATTTTGTGTTAAATTCCAGAATTCATAAGTATTTAAGACATGAAGTATAGGAAATTATGATTTAAAATATTCCTTTTATTTAATTTTCAATTTTGTAATCTTGTACATGATAAAGTATTTTAAATCAGTAGGTCTAGTATCTGTGCACTAACATTATAGTGAAGTTTTAATATTTTAATAAATGCATTAGACCTAGTAAAACCATTTTACTACATGATTGTATCACTAAGAAGTGATTGTTGTGAATAAAAATAAAATGTTAAGTCACCTATCAATTATTTTCTTGCCTAAGTATGTGACTTATATTGTTCTATATATTTTCCTATTCTTTGGTTTAGGAGATGATACCTATTCTGTACTACTTTGATCTTGTAATTATCTCCAGGTATATACTGAGTTTCTGTAACATGGTAGTAGTAGTTTCGGTAACTACATTTAATTAACAGCTTTTTCCTGTGTTGTTTTCTTTTGTCTTCCCTTTTGCAGAGCCTCAACCTATTCTTGTGGCTCCATTCAGGCCAGGCAAGTGCGCTATCACTGAGGTGTATCCTTTACACTACGAAGTTTGCTTTTTTATATCAGGTTTAAGTTCACTGCAAAATTGAAAGGAAGCTCCAGAGATTTGCAGTTGATCATGTGCCTCTCACACATAAGTTGCCTCCTTCCATGGCCAGTGCTCTCCCCTAGAGTAGTACACTTGTGATAGATGATGACTTACCATGAGTCTACCCTTATCCTTAAAATCTGAATCTGCGGTTAATGTTAGGGTTCACTGTTAGTGTTCTCCATCTGATGGGTCTAACAAATGTGTAGGGTATTTACTGTTGCATTTATGTTTGTTCTTAATTGTTTGTTAATACTCCATATTCAGAAGAATTTAGGAGATGATTATAGGAAATTTTTAATCCAAATGTTACACTTCTTTAATTTCTACTTCTGAAATCCTATACATGAAAAATAGTTTTAAATTAGTATGGTTACTTTGTGTGTACTAACATTAGAGTAAACTTTTAATTTTTTAAGTAAATGTGTTAGACTTAGTAAAAGAATATTACTACATGGTTGTATTACTGAAAAGTGATTTTTGTGACTAAAAATAAAATTTTAAGTCACTTAACAATTATTATCTTCCCACTAAAGTATGTAATTTGTATTGTTCTGTATAATGTCCTACTCTGGTTTAGGAGGTGATATCTATACACTGTTACTGAGTTTTTGAATTATCTCCAATTGTATACTAAATTTCTGTATCATGGTATTAGTAGATTCATTAACTTTCTTTAAATAATACCTTTTTCTTTGTTTCTTTGTTTATTCTCTTTTTTTTCTGTTTCATTGTCTTCCTTTTTGCAGTGGTTGCCACTCAACCCGAGACTCCACTCAAGTCAGGCAAGTGCTCTACCACAGAGCTGCACCCTTTTCACTAAGAACTTTGTTTTTTATGTCTGGCTTAGGTTCACAGCAAAGTTGAAAGGAGGATCCAGAGGGCTTTGATTGATCATGTCCCTCTCACACAAAGTGTTTTGCTTCCCTCCATGGCCAGTGCCCGCCCCTAGAGGAGTACCCTTGTTACAGATGATGACTTACAGTGGTCCATCGTTACGTTGTCATCTAACGTTGGCAGTTAACATTAGGGCAAACTGTTGGTGTTCTCCATCTGATGGGTCTATTCAGATGTGTAGTATATTTACTGCTGCATTTATATTTGTTCTTGTTTTTTTCTTAATACTGCAGAATTCAGAAGTATTTAAGAAATTAAGTATAGGAAAATTTTTATTTCAAAATACTCCATTTATTAATTTTTACTTCTGAAATCCTATACATGAAAAGAGTTTTAAAGCACTATGTTTACTGTCTGTGTAATAACATATAATAAAGTTTTAATATGTCAATAAATGCATTAGACTTAGTAAATAACATATTACTACATGACCTTGTCACTGAGAAGTGATTTTTGTGACTAAAAATAAAATTTTAAGTCACTTATACATTATTTTCCCACCCAAGTTTGTAACTTATGTTGTTCTCCGTATTTTCCTATTCTTTAGTTTAGGCGATGATATCTAGTCTGTGCTACTTTGATCTTGTAATTATCTCCAGGGGTATACTGACTTTCCGTATCTTCTGCAGTACTGGGTTTAGTAACTATCTTTAATGAATAGCTTTGTTTCTTCTCTTTTATTTTCTATGCGTTCTTTTTTGCAGTGATTGGTAGACCTCGGACTCCATTCATGCAAGGCAAGTGCCCCTCCACTGAACTGTACCCTTTGCACTATGAACATTTTAAAATATCAGGCTTAAGTTCACAGCAAAATTGAAAGAAAGCTCCAGAGATTTCCAGTAGACTGTGTGCCTCTCACACGAGTTGCCTCCCTCCATGGCCAGTGCTGTCCTCTAGAGTAGTACACTTGTTATAGACGATGACTTACACTGGTCCTTGGTTCCCATCCAAAGTCTGCATTTAACACTAAGTTTCACTGTTAGCATTCTTCATGTGATGGTGGATTGGAATTTGTTGTGTGTTTCCTTTAGCAGTGTCATGCCTCAGACAGCTCCTTTGTGCTATTTGTTCATTGCCTCCCTGGCCCTGCACCACCCCACCAATACTGCAACCACTGAACTTTTCATTTTCCTGGCAGTGATCATTTTAGCAGATCTGCTCCTTCATTGAAATGATACAGTGGATAATTTTTGAAGATTAAAAGCAGTAACTGTTCAAGCTAACTGAATGTAGCCAATAAAGCTGTTACTTGAACTGCCTTTTTTCCTCTTATTGGGGATGTTGCTAGGGACCGAAGCCAGTGCTTTGGCCATTCCAGGTCAATGATTTACCATGGAGCTATACCTCCAGCCTTAGTTTTTGTGTTTTTCATGCTTGTATGAATATGCGCTGATGGCATGTGCTCCACATGCTGAGCTGGCCTGCTTTCTATGTGGATTCCTCATCATGAGGAGGGTTGCCAAAAGTGACATCATGCTGAACTTCAGAGCACGAACTGCACCACCTTGTTCTGTTGGGTCCAGACAGAACCTTTGAGAATGGAGGCAGACACTGGCGAGTGCTGTGCTTCTCAAAGTGCCTCAGGGCTTTCATTCTTACCTGGAGATGGGAAGTAAGATGAGGGAGTAATGAAAGCTATAGGTGAGTCAAAATGCTCCTCTTCCTTTGAGTGCAAGTCATGTTAAGTTAGTAAAACATGACCGATTTTATCATTATTATTATTGGTCCTCACTCCTTCAGTACTAGGGACTCAGTGGTCTTGTGCGTGCTGTGTACACATGTTTACCACTGAGTCCAACCCCAGCCCTGACTTTGTATGAATAGGTTCTCTGTCACGGGAAATCAGAGGCTTTTGGTTCTTTGTGTTGTTTTGTTTTTTTCCCAAAGTTTACATGACGTAAAATTTTGTCTTTCACTTGTCACATTCTGAGAGGCTCAGTGAGTTAGTGGTTTCATTTGTATGTTTTCATTATTCCATGTAAGATAGTGCTCCCTGGCAGCTGGTTGCAACCTCCCCGGTGCTGGCTTTTAAGCTTTTCAGACTGGACCAGCTTGTAAGGGCTTGAGCTCTGAAGTGGTTCTTTCCATGGGAAGTAAGATAGCAGATGAACTTGAGCCCTGTTTGCATCACACATATGACAGAGAAACCAGGGAGAACTAAGGGAGCTCCTTAGCATCTTCCCTAGGAGAGGAATAGCAAGAGTAAGTGCACAGACTTCTCCTGAGCTCTTCTCCACTGAGAGCTGGAAATCATTGCAATGGTGCTTGTTTCAGGTGTGCTTCCCATATTTTGCCATGCTGCAAATTAGAATGCCCTTTACAGCTTCCTTGAGCTAAAGTATTTCCTCTTCAAACTCTACAGTTCCAACTGAATGCTACAGCAGCTGCCTTGTGTCTTAAGAAAATAAGTGTATCTTTTATGATCGTTCCTAGTGCCACTACTCTAGGAAAGTCATGCTCTTTGTTTGCCATGTCAGCTTATGCCAGCGATACTGCTAATGGTACCATTTCTGTCAATATAATACCTTCAGGTAGGATGTGATTGTGCACAGCACTATTGCTCATTTAGCTATCAAATGTAGATAAATTCTCTTCTTCCCTGCATTTCTTAAAAATAGGAAGTGAGATTTCTTAATGCATTGCATATCAATAGCATAATTAATACTGATTATAGAATGGGCTACAGATGTAGCCCAAAAGACTATTTTGTGTCAAAACATCAGAGTTATACTTTTAATAGTTTATATTTTTGTTAATTCAAAATGTATTTTACCTTTTTCTTGAATAGTGTGTGATATTTCTGATGATGACTCTCTAATCAGGTAAGAATATATAGATTTTTAAATATCGTACAGTGACTAATTAGTGAATGCAGAAAAGAAACCAATTGTTTTAGTGTTCTGTTCCAGGCCAGACAAAGTACCTGTGCTGTTTTAATCCAGTTTTATTAATTTGGCTGCTTTTATGAATGGAGGTTATTTAAATGGTCCATGGTCTCATAATTAAGAAGTAACTGACCCATGTGTTGACTGTTAGCCTGCCTGGCTCCCAGATGCCTTCCATTGCCCTCTGCAGTGCTGGGATCCAAATGCAGGTCATTTAAGATCAATGTAGAAAGTCACCATAAGGGACATGTCAAGTCTGCTTAGTTTTCCTGAGAAGTTGGTGAGTTTATTCTAAAGATAATGATTGAATTGATAGCCAGTTTCTTGTTTTTACCACTATAGAACTTAGGGGAGATGTGGTAGTTAAGACTATCTTTATGTAAATCATCTTATATTATTTATGTTGAGGGTTTATTGCAATGACATTTTTAATGCATGTGTCTATTCACCAATTTCCCAGTTTGGTTTTCCTTTCAGGCTATTACTACTGCCTAGTTCTATGATTTTTTTCCTCTTAAGTAAAATATTTTCTTGACTTTTAAAAAAATTTTTCTTCTACTTGGTATTTTTTTTTTTATTTCTGCTGCCTTAGTGGTTTTTTTTTAGTACCAGAAATCAAATCTCACGACTGCATTCTTGCAAGGCAAGTGCTTATGCTGCTTAGTATTTCTTATTGTTGTTTAGACAGAGTCAAAAACAAGTAAACTTTCAGGTTCTAAGAAATCTAAGAGACCAATAAAAATATCCTCTAGTGCTCAACCTGTTTAACATTCTAGCCATATGGTTGAATCCTAGAGAATTTGACATACAATGATATTAAAGTGACTTATCTGAATATAGTTCATGACAAAATGAGGTTGTATTCAGGTTTTATATTTGCTGTGTCTGGTACTCTTTGTCATGTCTCCTTCTGTGAGAGTTTCCATAATAGAAGAGAGGAGGAAGTCCAGCATGTCCAGTGGGAGATCATGAGAGTGGAATTCACAGGGGAAGGGCATGTTGGAAGGACAACATTGGGTGGGGCAAGACTGAGGTCTTACAAATCAGAATATTGAGGTTTGTCACAAGTCTGATAAAGATAATACAGAAAATGAAGCCCCAGAATACTGAGAATTATCCTGACAAATGTATTAAAAGTGTGGATTCAAAGGAGTTCTGAAGAGATTTTTGCTTTTTTGTTCAGTCGGAGGAACAGCGAAACTTAAAAATTGGTATTAGATTAGTTAGGGTAATCTGAGCCACCTGGAAGTCTCTAGAGCATGAAGGAATATCCCATGCCCTCCTTCCTACTCAGTTCATGGAGGGTGGCTTAGGCCTCTCACTCCACTGGGGACCAGAAGCAGCTGAACTTCATGGGCCTGTTACCCAGGACAGGTGTCCCTCATTTCCACCTCTTATGTAAGGTAGGCCTGCAAGGCAGATGTGTCCTCTTGATAGGTGGTACCTTGCTTCTGCTGAGGGCAGGTGATTGTGACACAAATACTTCTTTTCAGGAGCAGCTGCTCTTGGTTATTTGAGCACATCCTTTTTTTTAGGAATCTGTGCCTTCTTAGGCTGAAGATTTAAGTGAACACTGATGTGGAGCCCCACCATGAGAAACCCAGAAGGAAGAGCACTTACAAAACGACATTAGACTAGATTTATAATAACAGAGGAGCAGCTACCAGGGTTGATTTTCCAGCCAGCTCCTACTTGAATGTCAGAGTGTCTGTGAAAGTTTCACCACTTTATGTGTAGGTGAAAAAAGCAAAGGCATACAAGAAAAACAATTGGGTTTTATCATTTTAATAGTTTAATTTCCCAGGGAAGAAATTGACCAACACACACACACACACACACACACACACACACACACACACACCACACACACCCACCCACATTTTTCTTTGATTTTTGTACTTTTAACCTTCAAATATTTTACAGTTGCAGAGGACTCTGTGTTGATTTATGCTAAATGATACTAACAGAGTTGTCTCAGTGTAAGGGGCTTCCATACAGAAAACAAAGACTGCCATTCCTGACTTACTCGGCATCTTACTGACTTTCAGTAACTTTGGCATTAATGGGGCAAAATGCTCAACCCTAACAATTTAAAGGAGGAAAGATTCATTCTGACTCAGGTAAGAGGCTCCAAGGCAGAAACCACTTGGCAGGGAGACAAGGTGGAGGAAAGCTCCTTAACACACAGGCAGGGAGCAGTGAGAGGGCTGAAGAACCAGGGGTGAGAATTTACCCTTGCAGGTCAGAACCCAGTGGCCTTCCTCAGAGCAGACCTCCCACCTAAGAGCACAGTGAGCTACTGAACTTGCAGATGGATGAGGACATGCTGAAGATAGGGTTCCCATGGTCCAAACACCTTCCACACACAGGATAATGAAAGGGGACACTAGATTAGAACCATCACATCCAGCTTAGTCATTGAACCAGAGACAGAGCAGGGAAAGGGGACGGTGTATTTTTCCACCTTGAGGTTACCAGGCTTGTTTGAGTCCAGGTAACAACTTTTGTTTGCTATTATTGCATTTTTCACTTCAGCCTTCAGAGCAGGCAATTTGTAAAGAGAAATGATTTTTAGACTGTGCTGGTCTCTTGGCTGTCATGCTTTGGGAGTGAAAGTGAGACTATGCTGAGTGTTTCCGAGATTGGAAGAAGTGAAGACAGAAGGAAGCATCTAAAATATTTCAAAACTGGAAGTCAACTTTTAATTGTGTCAACCACGAACCATCATTTGATACACAGATAGCCAAGCTTTCACCAGTTTTTAAAGAATGAAACTCACCCACTGCTATTGTGTGTTTTTGCTCCCCAGCTCTTCCAGCAAACACAGTCTTGTTAATTTCTGGCCTAAATCAGATGACACTGACTTTCTTCTGGATAACAAGGTAAGTGTCTTTCGTAATGTTAATTTTCTTCCTCTTAGTTTTGCATTGTATTGCCCTTAGTCTTCAAATTTAACAGTGGTGTAGCTACCATAAATTTATATGGAACATTGATCAGGGAAGATCACTTTGGAGAACTATGCCTAGTTAAAAAGAATTTCCACCCCTTTGGTAAATAACTGGTACATATTTTGAAGTATTTGAGACTGAAAATAATAATGGGTTAGAAAACACAGTGACAGGAAAATTGTATCTGTCAAACCTTTGCCATGATGGCGGAAATACAAAATTTGGTCAAGGATCATTTGGATAAGTGGACCTTGCCATGGCTTGAAAATCTTACTACCAAGACCTTCATAGCACTCATACCTATATAAATCTTTTATGGATCTTATTAGTCCTACAATAATCAGGGAAGTTTGGTGCCTTCATTTGAACAACTTACCGTGTATAAAACAATTTTTCCTTTAAGTAATCTTTATTTTGCTATCATCAGTTTTTATGAGAGCTCCTCTGCTTCTGTTATTGGTTCTGTTGTTAGACTAGAATAATACCGGAAACTGTGACAACTTAGAAATTTAAAATGTGTTTCATCAGGGATGTATGACTACGGAATTACAGGATCTTCATTGTTATTGTTTTGTTTTTTTGTTTCTGGAAGGTGATCACAGGGCCTGTGCAGGAAGCTGTATCCCTTGCCCTCTTTTTTTAGTTAATTGAATTTGTTTTTGAGTCCGGTCTGGAATTTGGGATGTTTAGCCTCACCTCCAGTGCTGGATTGAATGTATACTACACCTTCCTGCACTGTGTTTTCTATGTGATTCCTCCATAAAGGGGATACCACTTTTAAAACATTTTATCTTATAGAAGACTACCTGTTTTCAAAATAATAAGCAGTGGTAGAACTAGATGGTCTACAAAGCAAGTGGTAATTGTAAGCTTTATAGCTTTAAAAATATACAGTGGTACTCTCTGTATCACATTCTGACATTTCAAGTTTCACAAGTTTTTGTACTTCCAAAAATTCATTTAAAACTCCGCAGTACAATGAGATTCTGGAGATTAGAAAGATTTTTGTGTGAATTCTGAAGACTTTCAGTGAGGTGTTTGGTATTAAGAAGCATTTTAATACCAGTTGAATGCCAATAAATGGATTTCTACCTAGTAGAATTTTTCAAGTAATGTGTGCATAATTTATGTAATAAATAAGTGCATTCAGTTTGCCCTAAAATGTATACTGTGCTTAGGATATATACTTTCAGGTGACTTATGTTTAATGTTATGTCAAATAAGAAAACAAATCAGAGGAATGAAAGACACAGTACATTCTAGTATCCTTTAACTTTGAACATAGGTTAGAATGTCATCTTAAAATCTCTTAAGCTTTTCTTTTAGTCAGCTCCATGTTTATTAGGTGCATCTTTTCAAAGTGTAATTTTTCTGTAGAATCGTGATTAGCAGTTTCACTGAATGCAAAATTGTGGAAATTATTGTGTTTCCTTTCTCTCTACCGGAAATGCTTCAGTTCTCAGGTAGTGGTAAATAGCCCACAACCTTTCTTCCATTTGTAACTGTCATTGCATATGGCAATAAATAGAAAACTAGAAGTATTGGCATATACCATTTATTGGGGGAATAGGAATTTTCAAATAAGGCCTTCCATTTCTCCCTCACATTGTAGTAGCATTTAAAAATACTACTTTCTGTAAATCATCACCATTTCTCTTCTACAATTTACAATATGTTTCCCTTTATGAGAATGGACCTGGTTATATTCACCAGTTGGATTTCTGACTCCTGGCTTCAGGGACCATCCCGCCTGAGCTGCCCTATAAGCACAGACCACAGGTGCACATCAGCAGGCCTGGATTTCATTAAATCCTGGAAGATTTTTCTTTGAACAGGAATCTTTTTCAAAATCTTCAATGGGTATCTTAGTATTAAATCTTATGATTAAATTTTAAAATTCACATTTGCGTACTGTCTCAGAAGTTAGTATTTGCATATATCAGTTAAAGTTTGTTTATAGCTTCAACACAAATGTTAATGTATATAATTGAAAAATGGCATCTCCTGTAATTCCCCCCTCATGATTTCATCTGATGAATTTCAGAACTGTGCATAGATTAGCATTACTGCCTCCGTTTTCTGTATTCTACAAAAAGTTACTTACCTTTTGAGCCAATATCATTTCCTGAGTGAGGTCATCATCTCCCCTCCTCCAAATGTGTCTCCTCCATCCCAGGCCTCCAGTTAGATGTATTTCCTGCAGGCCTTGACTGTGGTCTTTCTGTGATGATATTGGATGGCACCAGATCTCTGAAGCTGAGAATTCCTGGCCCCAGCTACCCTTCTGGTGACTATCAAATTTGCTTACTTCCTACATTCTGAGAACTATTTTTCATTTCTGGACTCATTTTCTCACTCATCATTTAAAAACAATATTCTTTGATGCTGTGCTTCCCATTATTCTCTGGCATCGATCTTACAATATCAGAGAATGTACAGATTTGCATTTCACAAGGGAAGTTCCCATTCCAGCCTGAAATTAGTGTGATGCTCCTGTTCACCTGTCTGTGCCCTTCCAGGAACTGTATTCCAGCTGTGTCACATCCCTTGGGCAGCCCTCTTTTGCTGTATTGTTTCATGCCCATCCTTTTGTTTCTGGTGTCCTTTCTTGAATGCCCTTGACACCCTTCCTTGGTGCTTTCTCACCTGTTCACAAGAAATGGCTTTTCCTGAGCTTTCCAGATAGAACTGATCGTATTTGCTTTAGAAGCCTGTCTTTGGACCCCATTTGTAGAATGAATGAAATGCATTTCACTGTTTTCATGTATCTGCGTCTGCTTCCATGCAAGCAGAATGTGCTTTCAGCTTTTTGCAGAGTAATCCGTGTGATTTGATAGATTTTTTCGGTGATTGTTTCCATTGTGTTTCCATTACACTGAGTGGGTGGCTGGGCAATTGCCTGCTTTGTAATACTGTTTTTTTCTTTTCTTCAATAGAAACAAGCAGAAATGTCAAAAGTTACAGCGTGGAAAAAGGGTAAGCCTTTTGTTGTAAAAGCACTGGATGAGATATCAGTTAACAATATGACTAATGTGGATGAGGAGAAGAAAACTCATCAAACTGGTAAATTAGTGACTGTGAAAGTTGTTTTTAATTATATGCTATTATTTTCAAATGTGTGTAGATCTAAAAAATGATATTCATTTCTTTTAAAATTTTACTTGTCTTAATTTCCTTCTACCAACAGGTTTTGGAAACTGATTCAAACTTCTGAAATTCTTTTAACATTGACTCATATCTCATTGAAATCTTCATGAATGTAGATATATTTATATCTATAAGCAAATTTTACAGCAGTGAATATTCTCACTAATGTGTCTCTGACTACATTTTATAGATACGGTGTTTGCACCAGGAGTACGGATGGCTTGGGATTCTGAGGTACTGCCTATCATTTGTAATTATGTTTGAAATAAGTATTGGTTGAGATTTTAATATAAATGGGACAATTTGTCTGTACTTTCTCATGTCTTCATATACCTGTAAGAAATCATTTGCTTAGTTTTCAACCACAGTTCCTAATTTTGTGACCAGCTTAGCTGATTAATAAGAATCTGTCTCAAAAAGTTAAAAACACAGGGTTCCTAGCTCAATACAAATACCTTGTGTTGAATCCCTTGTACTGCAGGTGAAGGAATAAATGGATGGAGTGCTAAGCACACCTTTGCTACCTGTGTAAAATTCATTCAAGCAAGCCAGTGCAGTCAAAAACTAGGAGCTAGATTTCATAAGCAATCGGCTTAGATTCTGGAATTAAGTTGAACAAAAACTGAAGAATTTTCCCTGCTCAGCCTCTGGCCACTGGCTGAAAATTCTGCTGAGATTCAGACAAAATGTTTGGATATAATTTTTAGAGGTTTTAACTTGACAAAATAATGAGTGAGAATCACAATTGTTAATCTATTTTGGTTGCTTAGTGTCAATCTGCATGACATAATTCAAAAGAAGAAAGGACTCAAGATATAAATACAGGGCTTTATAATCACAGATCCATTTTACATTATTTCAAAAAACAGAACCCAAAGTTGAATGTGGATGCATTGAGTGTCTCTATGGCAGTCATGCTTGTAGTGATAAAGATGTAAATATTGACAAATTGTTTTAGAGTGAGCACTTAGGAAAAGGCCTAATGTGTTCGGTCCAAGCAGCTCCTGCATTGTGGTACCAGGGTAGTGGTGGAAGCACAAAACCAGTTAGTATTCTGGTTTTGTCAGTTAGTGACTGCTGGTTTTGGAAAAATCATTTAATGTATTTGGATTTTGTGACTTATTATACCATGAAGATAACACATGATCTGCTTTTTAGCTATATATATGGACAAATGTGATAAAAATTGTAAAAATACTTTGAAAATTATACAAAGTTCTAGTTGGTTTGCAGTACCTGAATAAATATTGAAGATTTTTTCCTAAACCTGAGAACAACAAAACAATAGTGTGAAGAAGACAATAAGAAAGTTGAGAGGGGCATATAGATTGCTACTTTGTAAATGGTAACACTGTTGGTAAACTGTTGATGGAGTCAGCATATAGGAAGAGAGTAGCTTGGTGCTTGAGGTTTCCCTGAGGAGGCTTTAAATGTGAACTTGAATAAATCTCTGTTATTCTGTACCCACTGTGCACTAGGTAGTGGGACACTGAATACATCAGATGAGGACTTGTGCTATCATGATAGAGTATTCAGACAAACAAGAGCACTGTTTGTTTCATTACTTTGAATCCATCCTGTGGCCTTCACCTGGCACTAGCTCGCCAGGCCTTTTAATACTTGAGATAAGGGTCTTTCTAAGTCACCACATTCTCCAGACTGGGCTTGAACTAGTGCTTCTGATGTCTCAAACCTCCAGAAGTTTGGAATTACAGGTGTGCACTGCCAGGCCTGCATAGGTTAGAGAATTCCAAGGGAGTTTGAGGTAAGGATGGGAATGAGTGTGAAGTGCTGCTAATTTAAGAGTGAGAAAGAGCCAGCCCAGTCAAGTCTCGAGGACACTGTGGGCAGAGAGCAGGGAGCCATGAGCCATGTCTGGCTATCATTGTAGCACCCTACAGTGACCTGAAAGCAGGAAGTGCATCAACTTTCATCACAGTTATTTACAGTTTTGCGACAGACAGAAAAGAAAACATGCAAATCAGTATGAGCAAGTTTTGGGCACTTAATAAATTAAAAAAGGTTTTATGCTGCAGCTCTTTTTATACTTTTAAAAAGTTCTCCCTTAATTGGGAAATAGTTGTATATAGTGTCCAATATTTGTGTGCTCTTACTTGAATATAACATGAAGTTATTAGTATATTTTAAGTTTCAAACATCTTTTCAAGCAGTAAAAGTTTTACTCATAATTGTTTTTCTTCTAAGCCCTTGTTTACACAAGTGGAGCAGTGCCTGCGATGTTCTTTGTACTCAGCATGGCTCTCTGAAGCTTCTTAGCTGGCCAATTATTTTAACAGTGACGTGGCTTTTGTGATTAGAAATGCTTAGTGGTGAATGGTAACAAGTATATTTATAAGAATTTGTTTATTCAGGGAAGGGAAAGTGATGTTAGGGTGTAAAGGGAACCAAGGCAATGAAGAAATGATAACGAATGTAGCAGTTCCCCAAAACAAATGTAATTGTTGTATATCACAAACATACTCTCATAAAAACTTCTTCATTTAAATCTGTGTGTTTCAATGTTCCATTCATTGGAGAGTGCAGAGTACTTTGTCTCCTCCGACGTTAGGATGAAATATGTTTATCAGCTGGAATTTTGTCTCTGAATCCCTCCTGTGGCTTTCCATGCCTGCTTTACAAAGTCAGCACCCATGTGGAGACCGAAGCTGGGCTTCTCATAAGGCTCTCATTGGAGACATTTTGGTCCTCAGTACGTGATTCCCATTATTAAACCTGCCTGCCTTAAGATGGTAAAAATCAGATAACTTCTTGGGAAATGAGTAGGTAATGGTTGTGCAACTCATTACTGCTATATGAATTTTCTCAGAGTATCTCTGTGAATTTTCCACAGAAGCCTGTCGATCCTTTTTCTGGGAAAGCAGATGATGGAGGAAAACAGGCAGGAAATAGAAAAAGAAAAGGTAAGAAATATGTATAAATGTGTGATATTTTAAGAAAGTCATTTGACAGCATGTTTATTTCACAGTGGAGCATGGCTGAGTTCTGAATCCCCCAAAACTACTTATTAATGACAAAGTAAGAAAAAAGAGAAGTAACACAGCAATAAGTTTCATGTACCCTGACGTATCAGCCACAGGCAAATTTGAGAGTCACTGAAGGAGCTACCTTCTTAGCTCCGTTTCAAGGCATTCTAATGTCTGAGGGATGTTAGAAAATTAAGAGGAGAGGAGGGAGTGAGGGAAAAGAGAGAGCCACAATACAGGGAGTAGGCAAAGGCAAGAGAAAGTATGGGTGTGGGAAAATGACGTAATCATTTAGAAAAAGGAAGAGCCATTAGGAAGAATTATAGGAATTATATCAATTGAGCACCGAGTAACAAAACTTGCAGAGAGGTTGGGCAGAAGTTTTCGTCTTTCCCCGTCTTCTCACGATTGGAAAGGTATTGAGGATTGAAGTAGTGAATTACACAGAGCTCTACTTCATTTACTACAGATCAAAGTAAACGAGCATTGTTCGCTGTACGTGTAGTTTCACTGGTACCTTGGTTCACGCTCTTACTTCTTCCCGCAATGCTGGTTGCAGAGTTCCATTTAAAAGTTTACCACTTAAAAACGTTGCTATTTCAGCAAGTAGTACATCCAGAATGCGACAGTCAAAAACTAGAAAGAAAGGAATGATTAGTCATTGAGTTCAGGAAAGCCATAGTCTCAGTTAAAAGTCCATTAGAACGGGGATGGCCTGTTATGCATTTTCAATTTAGTTGACAGGATGAGGAGGAAGTTGGTGCTAGATTCCAAAAATGGAAGGAAGGGAAGGGAAGTGGATTTGGAAGCGATTAGGTTTGTGGCCTGGAGCTTTAGTTATGAAATGAAGCCCCTGTGGGGGAACATGTTACACCACACATCTGAGTCAGCAGGACTAAGGTGGTGTGTTTCTAAGAAGGTCTCCAGGGATGCTCATGTCACTCATCCTCAGACCACTGAAGATGGGCCAGTATCAAGTTCCCTGTAGAGAAATCTGGACGAGAGTCATTGGATAAGAACTAGTTCAAGACATAACAAGGTCAAGAGAGAACCATTTCGTGCCTGTTTTCCTGTTTGTATTTCTGAAAATAGTTCTAGTCACAGGGGAGAGAGTAAAGCAATGAACAGAGAAGAAATAGAAGTTGTAATTCTAAGA